GCTCCAGTCCCCTCACCATCCTTGTAGCCCTCCGCTGGACTCTCTCCAGTAGCTCTTCATCTTTCTTGAACTGGGGAGCCCAGAACTGGACACAGTACTCCAGATGAGGCCTCACCAGGGCAGTGTAGAGGGGAAGGAGAACCTCCCTCATCCTACTGGCCACACTCTGTCACTCTGGCATTTCTCTCTGGCTGTTCATCAGGGGGACAGTCCCTCTCAGTGCCTGGTCATTTTGTAGCAGACCACTTGGTGTGTCAAGAAGAACCAGAAGTCTGGTCCTCTGCTTTCAAATGATTGTATAAGACAGAAATATACAAAAAAGAAAGGATCTTTCAGGATAAAGTACTGCTGGGGAAAAAAAAATCCCAACCCAAAAAAACCCTGTTGTTGATGTCTAGGCATTTATATATTCAACTGTTGCTCTCCCACTATCTTCCTGAATTTTCTCATTCACAAAAGCAAGTCAGAGAAAAGCAATAACTAATGATGAAATGCTTTATCTGGATAAAATACCTTGTTCCAGTAAGTAGCATTTTCCTCTCCCTTTAGAATGTGTAGCCTTTATTCAACAAATTCATCAAATAGCTGCTGTTTTCCAGTAATTCAGACTAGTCATAAAAGTATATTTAATATTGTATAAGATAAATGGGCTCTACTCAGTTGCCTTTCTGTGAAATCAGACCTTTCTGACATTTTCAAATGCCTATGGTGGACTAGGAGAAAGCTATGTAACTGGTCTAAAGCAGAAAAAGCTAGACAAATGCATAAGTAGTGGAACAACTATCTTGATCTGCAACACCTTTGTGAAACAGGGGAAACAAATATTAAACCCAGACTACATGCAAAGCCAGACAGAAGATCCCTAGTTTAAGCCATTGTTCCTGCAGATGTCTTTTATGCTTAAAAGTTCTTGCCTTCAAATAGAAAAAGTGTTATAAATTCGGCAATCATTCAGCATTTCACGCATCCATACATTTATATGATTTATGACATCAATATTGCACAATAGCCCATATCCCCAAAAAGATCTTAAACAAATTAATGACTGTTAGAAACTGAAACAATTTGCATTACGGTCACAGTAAAGACTGAGTACAAAAAATTTGTTTGTAACACTTAACTCCATGCAAGATAAATTTATCTTGACCTCTTTGCATCTGTACTTCTTATTCTTTAAAATGAAAAAATATACAGTATAGAACAATAACTATTTTCATTTTGTAAAAAAAGTTAACAAGACTTGGGCAATTTATTGCATCATACTGACTAATAAAACTGGCTATCAGCTAACAAGGTTTTGACTGGTGATGTGAAGTTAAAAACTGCATGACTTAACTCTCTAGTTCTGAACTCTGCATGCAATACAAAACACCCTCCAAAGGAACATAGTAAAGAACAAGAAAACCTCTCAGATCCCGCACCAGAAAAAAGAGCTCTGGGAGAGCTCAGAGATGTGAAGTTACGAAAAAATGCTGAAGATCTGTTTATCCGTTCAGACTGCTGCAAAGTATCATCCTGCTCTGGAAAGTGACTTAACAAAAAAATCAAGTATAAGGAATGGCAGATTCTTTGGCATTACAGGTTCATATGTGTCATCAGGCAGCAGCTTCACTTTGGGGACATAAACAAACCATGGAGGGGAGCAGTGTCTGTCAAAGAGCTCAGCATACACCCTACAACGTCGTGCACACCATACCTGCTCTACCTGCTTGAACTTCGGGGGAGCAAAGCTGCAAATCTGTCCCCTCCTGTGTTTTTCATGAATGGTTTTAGATATGTACTGGGGAGCAATAAAGAGCTGTCTTTTGTCCTGTGAACAGGGTCTGCTACTATTACTGGTTGCATCTGAGCTATAAGAGATAAAGCAGTAGTCTTCTTCTAGTGTCCCTCCCATATAAAAGGCTGAAATAAGTTCCTAATGATTACTACCTTGCTCAGTTCAGGCAATTTCTGCCTTCATTTGCGTTCTCTAAAATTTCACTGATATTCATGCAAATGCACAAAATGAATGTAAGAGACTTACTACAAGCTAAAGCGGACTCCAGTTCAGGAGCTCAATAAGCACTTTAGAAAACTATTCTGAAATTAAAACTTCCCCAGCTAGAGTTTTTTAAACTTGTCGGCTTCTAAACCTTTGGATCTGAAAGCCGTCCGAGGTTCCTTCTCATTCAGGCATAGGAAGCAGTCAAAAAACGCACTTTGTTCCAAACCTTGTAATTTGCACATGAGGAGTAGAGAGCATAAGCTGATCTTTGATCTAAATTTAAACACTATTCTCATTGACATGCGAGCTGCTTCTTTCCTAACAGTTCATTCACTGGCTAAGAAATGATTGCTTTTTCCAGTCGTTATCAACTTTCACAGCACTGCTAACAAGGCTCAATACAGGAAAACACGCCTTTCGGTGACCAAAGACGATAGATACGAGCGCAAATACACATTGACATTAGCTTTGTTAAGGAAGGAAGCATTTCATCATTTTTCAAAGAAAAATCACATTCTGAACTTCAAATTGGCATAGAAGAGCCAATTTTGGTGAAATTAAAGGGATCTCCAGAAATGCTAAATATTTGCAACGAAAACTTCTCTCCCAACTCCCTTCATTCAAAGCCACACGACATTCTGTACTCATTTCCATAGGGATTTACTGGACTAAAGCAAGGAAAACTTGCTGTGAATAGCAAAGGTTGCAGATGAAACCTCCAGACCACTGCCACCTTTGTGCTGGAATGGTGGTGGTGACTCTGCACAACTCAGTCCAAATTGTGGAAGAAAAGGGGCAAGTCATGGAAGTGACGTACAGAATATGGTTTTTATATTTTGTAGGGATTCTGAGAAATTGGTTCTTAACATTCAGCCAGCATTCACAGGATAAAATCTGCTGTGTGCATACCTTGAGTACTATCTCCCTACTTTGGGGACAAAGGTTTTACTTTCTTCAAGTTGAACAAAAACATAGACCTTTTCTTCACACTCTGCTATAAAGAAGACAACAGCTCAACATGGAATTGTTAAAGATATTGTCTTCATGGCTTAAAAAGTTCAGAAGGAAGTCATTTCAATTGCTTCTAGTGTGGAACCTGGAATCCTGTTTACTATGTGGAATTTGTAAGGCCTTCATAAGCAAACTCTGACAGTTATACGTTACTGTCAAATGAAAAGAAGATTTCCAATCTCTGGACTCTTATAACCTACACTGCTCTCCTAGTCCTCCCTGTGAATCAACTGATCTCCATGACACTATCACATTGGAAAACTGAAGTTATTGAAAAGAGACTCACAACCCAGAGGTAAAACCCTCAAACCTATAATTTGTTTAAATACAATTGCTTAATTAATCAGAAATCTTAAAAAAACTTACCTTTAAAATTTGGTCTGATTCTAGCATCATACCCCGAAGTCCTTCCCATTAATTTGTCCAAAAAATCTGAAGGAGACAGGGTCTGTGAGGGGGATTTTCCAGATCTTGAATCATGTTCTTTACAGAAAGTCGCCCTAAATAAATTATTAGCCACCATTAGCTAATATTTACCTTGCATTCAAGTCATGGAGAAATCATAGCACTAAATAAAATAGTCTCAATTCAGTGACTGTAGCAATTAATATTTTTAGAGAACAATATAGTCTATTTTTCATCTGAAAACTTTATTCTAGAGATAAAAATGAGCTTAACATAGTGTGCATGGACACAATTTTCTATTTAGAGAGTAACTCAGTTTTAAAAAGACATGTATCACGGCTTCAAGACTTTAGAAGATTCAATTTACTCTCCATCTTAATGCGTAGAGCAATCTTACAGGGACTTTGATATCCGATTTTGTATCATTGCTTTAGTTACATGTATGCTGTTGAAACTATATGTTAGCGCTGGTTTAATGTGGTCTTAAACTTCCAGACAATAGCTGGCAACACTCACTGGGCAACACTGAAAAAATATTGGGATTTTTAATGTTGGGAAGGATACAGATGCAAAAAAAAAATTATTTACAGATGCTAGACAGCAAAGACTTAAAACATGTTAGTGAATGTCTGGATTCTTCCCCAACATGGCAAAAAGGGTTCCAGAGTCAGTCACGTCTGATCTTAGGTTTTATTCACCAATGAACATCGAGTGAGAACATTTATCAGTATTATCACCAGCTGGTATTTATACGAAAGCTCTTGGAACACATCTCTGTTTTCAGGATTTAAGAGAAAACTTCTGGTACTATATCATGCATAAGAAACGCTGTGTACACAATTTATTACATATTGCAAGCACATTAAATTTTGCACAGAGACAATTTAGGAGTTCCCCATGGTTGCTCCCTAGGGAAAAAGAAACTAGAATTAAATGGTTGTATTTGGTGTATAGAGGCACAGATTTAATCATAAAGCATTATCTTGATTCTTAAATAACCATTTTAATTGTATCTATGTTTCAACATAATCTTTGAGCTGTATTAAAAGTAGTTCTATGACTGTGTATTCTTAATCACTCTGTGTTTAAATATTTGCCCAAAGGGAACCACTTAGTTTCAGGAGTGTTTTGTGGGGTTTTTTTGTGCCTGTATACAAAGTAGATATACATGTGAGCATCTGAAATGAGAAGCAAATATGAAATCCTCTATCCCTTTGCAAAAACTTCGGAATTGTAAAAAAGCAAGGTGATAGTAAATTCTTGTGATGTGATTTCCCACGTTTTTTCAGGTTCCATTTACAGGGGGCGGTTGCTTCTTTTTGCTTTTGTCATTGACATGGTACCATCACAAAAGATCTTTCATTTTTAATACGTAACACCTGATATTCCCCACATAAATGCTAAAAACATTCAGTTAAGATAACAAAAACTGGAAAATTAATCCAGTGTGCTTATTTAGGAAGTTCCTATACAAATTCCTTCTGTTTTCATTCAGAACCCACTGGTTATGAGTTGTGTTGTGATCCAAG